CAGGCAGCTTTATACTCTTCTACCAGAAGCACCTTAGGCAAACTTTTCTGGAGAGTGGCGGGATAGTAGGCAGAGAAAGGAGCGGTACCAAGAGTGGGAAGAGGAAGTGGAAGAGAAAGCTGCTAAGCAGGAGCCTGAGCCCAAACCACAGGAAGCTAAAGCCAAGGAGCCCAGCAAACCAGCAGCAAAGGAGACAGAAAAGCCAAAGGCTGAGAAGAAGGAAGAACCAAAGAAGGAAAAGGCTGAGCCCAAAAAGGACCTGGAGGAAAAAACCAAAGCTGAAGCTAAACCCAAAGAAGAGGCAAAGGCTGCCAAGGCAGAACCTAGCAAAGATACCAAGGACACCCCCAAAGTAGAAGCACCCAAAGAAGTACCTGAGGTTACCAAACCCAAGGCAGAGAAAGCAGAAAAGTCCTCCAGCACAGAGGCAAAAGAAAGCAAACCCACAGAGAAAGCTGCTGCTCCTGATGACAAAGCCAAGAAGAGTGAGAAGTGAACAATGGCGCTTTGGACATGTAAGGAGGTGGGCCACCAAAGAGAGCTGTGAAGCTTTCCCTGATCTGTGACTGAACATGCTTTTTTTCCCAAAAGATGAGACTTTGCTTAGGTGATGGATGACCTCCTTTGTCTGAGCTGGAACTTACCTTAGCAATATGTTTATGTGAAAGACAAAAACAAATACCTGAGCCTACTCAACTGGTGGTTCAAATATGTTATGATAGCTTCAGTAGCAGAATGTGATATATGCAGAATGCCACATTTAAACACTTGAATTATTAAGAAAAACTGCCCCTTTTCAAATAAGTGCATTTATCTAATGTATGTGCAATTGATGGACAAATGCAATAAAGAATGTACACAGTTAGAGCTCTATTATGCTTGGGAGATGTACAGTAGATAGGAAACTCAAGAGTTGTAAATGCCTTTTCATTTTACAAATGGAACATAATTTCTCACTTGTAGCCTACACAGACTGTAGCTGACATGAATGGAATCAGGTTAGACACTGCAGAACTCCACACAGATAAGAAGTGCACTGGACAAACTCAAGTCCACTTTCAATTGCTTATGTGCAATAAAACAAATAAAGTGCTTACAGACAAAACCATTCCTGGTGTCCTCTTTGTGACTCTTTGCAGGAGAACAGGGTAACAGCCCATGAATGGGGAAGGGCCACTGAATAAAGAACGAGAGTGAGGCTGACGAGTGTGTATGGGTTGGGAGGCTTTAATACAACCCACTGTAACTCCCATATGGGTATCCTAAGAAACTGGTTCTCAAGACAGGATGTGTGCTTAGTTCTGTACATGTACTTAGATGCCTAATGCCCTTTGGTTTCTTGGTCTCTAAACAAGAGAGATCTGATGAATTCAAGGCTGTCCATACAGACCAGTTGGGCTAGAAAGATTCAATCAGTCCAGCCCTCTTAAAGATTCATCCATCGTATCTGACATCATGACTCTATATGTAATGACACTTGCATCTGCACAAGGATGAAGAGAATCGCATGTCTTGGCTCAGCATAGGAGATAAGCACAGGTCAGGAAGGCATTTTTTTCCTTCTAGATCAATCACTGCACAGGCAGCCAGCTATAGCACAGAGGTTGTTTCGCCTACAAGCTTCTTTCCCTGATTGGGGGTGTGATGACAAATGGTCAACAGAACTCTGTTCTGCTGGAGTGAGGCAAACCACACGTCTCTGAAAGACAGTTAAAGTTCAGATCCTGAAGTGTACTGTCAAGCTGATGTGTGGGAGCTCACTCTGTGGTGTGGTCCCTGTAGTTGGGAATGGAAGGATCCTAGCTCAGGGATGCCATGGTGGGCTGCTGGGGGGAGGGCTGAAAGCTCCATTGGTTCTGCTTTCTTTGCTCCTCCTTTACTCCAGAATGTGATGGCTACCATGAGGCAGTGACATTTGTTCCCTGTCAGCTCCTAGACATAGAGCCTGGCTGGATTGGAAAGTGCCAGTGTTAAGCAGGAAAACACCCCAGTAGGAAATCTCTTTGGGGTGATATGGGTTGGCTACCTAGTCACCCCAACTGGTCACCAGGTTTCTCTCATCCCAGATTCATTGTGGGATATGCCCAATTTGGAACAAGCCTTCAGTTCCTGAGCTCAGCCACAGAACCAGTGTGAAAGAAGAGAAGGTGGACATCTTTCCTCTTGCGTCTTTGCTCTGGGCTCCCATAGCCAGCTGGGCATTAGGAATCAGAGCAGCGATTTGGACCCCTACTGGCCATCACAGTAGGTAAGGAGAGGGTGATGTCCACATACAGTCAGGTCATGCCATTATGCTTGTTCCTCTACAGAGGAAGTGTACCCAATTTTTGCCCTTCAGGGACGTCATCAGGCTCACCAACAGGAGCAGCTCCCCTAGTGGTAGTTCCCTCTTGTGGGGTTGCTCATTAAAGACCAAACCTGGCACTGCTGCTGCCTTGGTCCTGTGCAAGTGGATGTCGTGTTAATTTCCAGGATGATTGCTTGTGCAGGGATGTTGTTTTCTGAGGGGTGCGGCAGGAAAAAGGCAGAGGCCTGGGCCTTTACTTAGGAAACAATTAACCATATCATAGCAAAGGGATGTGAACAACATGCTAGCAACAAGTCCTGGGCTCACGTGAGAGCACAGGTGAAGCAAGGCTCCTCAGACACCCAGTGCATGTGCCAAGACCCTGGAGCAACACACTCCACTTCCCCAGTGCCCTGGCACCCATGGAACCCAGATGCCTCCCCCCACCCAGGTTGTGCACCCCTCTATCTTCATCATCTGAGGGTCTGAGTGGAAACGCCAATTTATAAAATGTAGGTGGAAGCATGATTAGCAGAGCCAGTCTGCTTCTCAGGCTGCTGGTACTAGAGCAATGGACCCAGAGAGTGGGTGACCTGGCTAAGATGCCAGGCGTGTAAGGGGAGGGAGGGCCTGCCAGAGTGAGACCCTGCATAGCAGCCTGGGCTCAAGGCCACCATTGGGGCAGCAAAGAGGCTCAGACAAACAGGAGGAGAAATCAAACCCTGGCAAATCTCCTGCTCTGGGGAGGGATTAACAGGATGCCCAGAGATACAGCATTTGCATGCATGCATAACCATGGCAGGGGCAGGGCTGCCATGGAAATCAGGACATTTATCAGCAATAAGCAAGGGCTCTTTCTTATTAGTGAGAATCCCAGGGGCTTTGAGGGAGTGGTTGACTACAACAGCATCTCGCAGCCCTGCACTGCAGTGCAGAGCTGGCTGCATGGCCTCCTCCCCCCAATACACTCAGAGGAGACACAGGGACTGGGAACCAGGAGAGAGATCTGAAGAAAGATCAGGAGGAGGAAGGGCTGGGAGGCCAGTTTGGAAATGGCCCTGGTGTGTGGGTGTGGGGGGTTCCTGTCATCTCCCTGATCCTGGCTGGCCTGCATAGGATGTGGAGCAGAGCAAAGACAAGCGGCTGCTCTCTGGAGAAGACCAGAGATCAAGGTGGTCTGAAGGCCAGGCCCCTGAGATGAGATGAAATGAAGGGACTCGCATCTGCAGGGACTTTGGGAACACTCACTCCCCTTTGCCCCTCCATTAAGGTCACCACCAGCAAGAGGTAAGTTCTCACAAGGGGCTCAAATGGACCCTGCTTTTGGCAGGCTGCAGTCAGGGCAAATTCACCTCCTCCCCTCCAGCTGGTGGAGCACATTAGCATCATCGTGCCAATGACCTCAGAGGACTGGGAGCAAGACAGATTGGGAGTCATTAACCCCCCTTCTACTCCCTGCTGTTCACATGGGCAAGCTGAGGCAAGCAGCAGTGAAATGACTTGCCAAACATCATTCTGCATATCTGGCAGAGTCAAGAATAGAACCCAGGAGTCCTAAGTCCCAGGGCTAGGATCAGCAGCCCAGGCCAAGATCCCTTCCTACTTGTAGACACCTCAAAGACAGCCATCACCACCCTTCCCAAAGCTAAGCAATAGCCTCTCCTTTACGTCTTATTCCCAGTAAGGGGTTGCTCAGCTTTGGAGAAGGGAGTTTCTGGCATGGGCAGAGTCCATGTGCCATCTCCTAGCCGACACTGAGTCCTCAGGATAATGTGGCAGCAGCATAAGAGCTTTGCTAGGCAATGAAAGCAAGCAGGATATAAATGGAGAGAGCACAGGGATGACAACATGAGATGGAACCCTGGCTTCAGGTGGCCTCCAGTCCTCCTGGGGGGTGACATTGTCCTCCCACCAACACACTTACATGCACACAACATGACACTGTTGGCACTCTGCAGGTGCCAGCACTAGACCACTGCAACTGCATGCCTACCTGATCTGCTGTCAGTGCCCAGCCTGGCCCTCAAAGGCAGTATCTCAGCCAGAGCACTGGGAGCTCAGCAGGCACAAGCTCATCTGGAAGCACCTGGCATGTTGCTCATCCCTGAAGGGTTTACATGCTTCACTGCATTATCTTTGATCCTCTTTCTTATGGTAGGGCCTGAGGGCCAGCCCAGAATGAACCTCATTGTGCTAGGAGCTGCACAGAGTAGCAGAGGGTCCCTGCCCCAAAGAGTTTACAGTAGAAACAGACAGGATAGACACAGGGTGGAGGTGGCTGGAGATGAGGTAAAGGGCTGCACAAGAGAGAGAGGGAACAAGAGCTGGAGCAAGGTGCCACTCACCACACTGCAGAGAGAACCACATTGACCCACAGACAGCAGCTGGTACTGCTGAAGGTCTCTGCTTCACTGCTACTCCTACCAGCCTGCTTTCCTCTGCAGCTTTCACCCCATGGCCACATGGGAAATTGGGCTGGGGAGGCCCAGCAACATGCATCCTACCACTCCCATCTCCTGTTTAATGGAGAACAGGGCTGTGCTGAGCCTGGGCAGCTTGTAATGTATCCAGGCCCATGATCTGGAAATCAACCATGTTCCTAATGCCAATCCTGAGACCATCCAGGTCTGCAAGGGAGGCTGCTGTGCCCTCCCCCAGGCTGGGAGCTGTCTTTGCAAAGCAAAGCCCACCAAGCACAAGGTTGCAGTGGTGGTTTCTCTACCTGAGCTCCCAGCCATGGAACAGGGGGAGGCGGCACCTGGACTCTGAGCTCCCTGGGCCCACTATGGGCATGATAGCAAAGAGGCAGCTGGATTGGTTCACTGCAGACTGCTGACAGGCATTAAGACTGCAGAGAAAGTTTCTCCTGTCCCTTTGCCAGTGACAGCATTTACTAATAGGCAGGAGCTGGGCAGGGTGAGCTAGGGCCACTGGGGAGATCTCTCCTGAAGTCATGAGATCATCTGCTACAGCAAGGGACAGCTTAGCTGCCCCCATCCCTGCCCAGAGGCTCCTCCTAGTCTCCCTGCACCCCCTTCCCTTCTGTGTGATCCCTATTTCCATGATCACCCATGCTCTGCTCCTGTTCCCAAGGTGGGACATCCTAGATGTTCTCTTCCACTTGTGGAGGGTGTGAGAAGCAGCTGCTCTTGATCCTGCTAGCCTGGATTGCCCCTTGTGTCAAAAAAATCCCAGGAGAGAATCACGGAAGCCGAGGGCTGAAGAGGAACCTCTATGGGAATCTCTTCCAACCCTCACACAACCACAGGAGTTGCTGTTTCTAGCTCCGACCCAGGAAGATGCCCATCTAGCCTCTTGCAGTCAGACATCTCTCTGACAATCCCTCCCATGCCTCCCACTCGGGGAGAGCATATATGGGAAGGTTGATGCCATCTTTGTAGGATCCATCAGGGACCCCCTGGGACCAAGAAGCACTCTGAGCCAGGGCCTTTTCTGGGGCTCCCCAAGTGTTGCTCCTTTCCAGCCCTGCTTAGCCTGTTCCCTCTGGGTAAGCCTTCCTAATAGCCGTGGCACTTAGTTTTCTTGCTGACTCATGCCATGAGCCCATGCCACCTTTATCCTGCAGGAAGCAGCAATCCAGACTTGGTTTTCTGCTGCCTTGCAGTTCAGTGTTGAAAAAAGCTAGGCATTGCCATCAGGGTCTGAGCTTTTGAACCAAAAGACCAGCTTCCTTGGACAGCCCTGGTGACAGGGGAAATCAGGAATTTGCATGACCCTACCCAATGGTGACAGCTTGTCATCACCACAAAGGGCTTTTACTATCCAGGGAATGAGGCACCCCATCAGATCAGGGGGGCAAG